AGGTTTTAGAAGGTTACAAAGGTAGGGTGGGGCAAGAACACAGAGGGCTTTAAAATTGAGGACAAGGATCTTGAACTCGATTCTTTGGAGGGTGGGGAGTGCGTGGAGCCAGGCGAGGATGAGAGTGATAGGCTCACGGACCCTGGTGCGGGAGAGGACACGAGCTGCAGAATTTTGAATAGTCTTCGGCTTGTGGAGGGAAGAGTTTGGAAGACCTGCGAGGAGAGAGTTAGCATAGTCAAGCCTGACAAAAGCACGGATAAGGGTCTGGGCAGTCAGGAAACAAGCTTAGGATGGAGAGTACAAAATGAATTTCATTGCAAAGATTCTTTTAAATTTTAAATCACATTTTAGCGCTGGGCTCATTAATTTGGACAATTTATTTCTGGAATATGGTCCCAAGAGTAAAGTAGATATCGTCATTGGAAAATCTCTTTCACAGTACACTGTCAGTCGTTTCACAAGATCAGTAATTTGTAGGCTGCGTTCAACTACAAAATGCACAGTCTCTACAACTTACCTTGTGAAGTGTCCTCCAGATAATGTGAATGGCACCATACAAATGCACAGATGATTACTATTATTAACTCCAACTAACTGATAGATATGTGCATTGATGAAATCCAATTTCCTGTGAGAGAATTGTGTGACTTTATCTATAATCAATAATAATATATAATAATAACCCTTGTATTTGATATAGCGCTTTTCACATCTTCTAGACATCTCAAAGCCCTTCATAGAATATACTGTAAAGTGAATTGACTGTGCATTTGCGGGCAAAATCTATAATAAAGCATGTTGTCCTCATTTCATTTGAAAAATCCTTAAAAAACCTCAATAATAAATTGGTCACTTCAATCCATGACTGTTTGTGGGACACTGCTGTGTGAGATTGCGGCAGCATTTCGCCCACAAATATACAGTCAATTCACTTTACAGTATATTCTGTGAAGCGCTTTGAGACATCTACAAGACATGAAAAGCGCTATACCAAATGCAAGGATTATTTTTATTTATTATACAAGGTAATTTTCTCTCTTAAAGAATTATCATGTTCCGCATGGGAAAGACCCTACAAAACTCTCAATGCAAAGTGTGAATTTGTTGCCCAGCGTTATTATGTAGAGGAATGGAATTACGGCACAACAACAACTATTTGCATTTACAGAGCACCATCATCCGGGCAGTGTCTCAGAGCACTTAACAGTGGTGGAGCCTGATGATAAGCTAGGCTACATTGCCATGTTCATCTGCAAAATACACAGCCGAACTATACCACAAAAAAGAGGCCACACCATACTTTACATTAAAGCCAGTGAAGTGCTTTCTGCCACCTTCCGTACAATTCAATACGTGCAGAGAAAGACTCCTCAAATATTATAGTGTGCTATTTTCGAATGGACGAAATCATGTTTGTTGTGAGGTTACGTTCTTAGGAGTATAATGGGTTTAGGAGTAAACTTAATTTTGGCACTGATATCACCATTGCTCATTTGATAGTCAAGGATTTGCACCCGGAGGTTGGGATCAGGAGGGATGGAGGGCTGGGAAGGTAGGGGTGACCAAAGGCACGGTCAAAGAGGAGGGTCTTGAGACTTGCCTTGAAGGAGATCAGGCAAGGAGCAAGGCGAAGGGACTGTGGGATGGTATTTCAAAGAGTGGGTGCAGAAAGGCTGAAGGCCCGAAAGCCCACTGAGCGGAGGAACCGGACAGGTTGCCACCTTACGAGAGGGGTTTATAGGAGGGCGGAGGAGGTCGGGGAATGACCCTGGAGCTGCGGGGGTCCCTATTATTATTCTCCTCTAAACAAAACACCAATGACATCTTGACCATCTGCGACCAGGGCTCCCTCTGCCTCCTCGACCTATCGGCAGCATTCGATACTGTCGACCACGCCATCCTCCTCCACCGCTTGTCCTCCCACCTCAACCTTCAAGGCCCTGTCCTGTGGAGTCCTGTAGCTCAGTGGTTAGAGCACTCGCTTTGCAAGTGAGAGACCTGAGTTCAATTCCAGGCAGAGGGCGAAACCTTGGGCAAGTTTCCTTACTCCACACAGAGCCTAATAATAATCCCTCCAAAACAAAAAACAATAATTTAATTGGTCATTTTCAATCTACGACTGTTTGTGGGACATTGCTGTGCGCAATTGGCTGCCGCGTTCGCCCACAAATATACAGTCAATTCACTTTACAGTGTGTTCTGTGAAGCGCTTTGGGACGTCCTCCCGACGTGAAAAGCGCTATATCAAATGCAAGGATTATTATTATTATTATTATTATTATTATTATTTAGGTCGTACCTCTCCCACCGTCTTCATTTTGTTTCCACAAATGGCTTTTCCTCCAGCCCCCGCACTGTCTCGTGCAGTGTCCCTCAGGGCTCTGTCCTCTGTGCCCTCCTCTTCACCCTCTATATGCTCTCCTTTGGTGACATCATCCGCAGACATGGGGTTAACTTCCACATGTATGCGGATGACACCCAACTCTACCTTTCCTCCTCTATCCTCAACTCCACGACCACCGATGTCCTGACAGCTGCCTGTCCGACATCGAGTCCTGGACAAGAGACAACTTTCTTCCGCTCAACTTGCGCAAAACTGAGGCCCTCCTGAATGGCTCGCATCAGCGCCTCCGCACCTCAGGCGCTGACAACATTAGCATCCAAGGCTGCACTCTCCTCCTCTCAAAGCTGGTCAGGAACCTCGGTGTTCTGTTCGACCCTGAGCTGTCCTTTCTTCCTCATATCTGCACCACAACTGGCACCGCTTTCCATCATCTCCGAAACATCGCCAGACTACGGCACTACCTCACCCCTCACGCTGCTGAAACTCTGGTCCACGCCTTTATCACCTCAAGGCTGGACTATGGGAACTCTCTCCTCGTCGGCCTTCCCGGCACCTCCCTCCACAAGCTGCAGGTCATTCAGAACTCTGCAGCTCGTGTACTGTCCCGCACCAGGCTTCGCGCCCACATCACTCCCACCCTCGCTCGCCTCCACTGGCTCCCCATCTCCCAGAGGATCGAATTCAAGATCCTCATCCTCACCTACAAGGCCATTCACGGCCTTGCTCCCTCTTACCTCTCCGACCTACTATCCCCCTATCTACCTGCCCGTACCCTCCGTTCCTCTGACTCCGGTCTGCTCCACATCCCCCACCCCAACCGCCCTACCATCGGTGGGCGGGCCTTCAGCCTCTCAGCCCCTCGGCTCTGGAACTCTATCCCCCAGTGCCTTCGCCGCCTCCTCCCTTTCCTCCTTCAAAGCCGATCTCAAGACCTTTCTCTTTGACCGTGCCTTCAGCTCCCCTCTCGACTGAGAGAGCTCCCCTCTCTACCCCCTCCTCGCTCCCTCCCCTCCTCTCACCCTGACCATTTCCCCCCTGCTCGGGTCCTGACCCAACTTTCCAGCGCCTTGGGACGTCCTCCCGACGTGAAAGGCGCTCTATAAATGGAATCTTGTTGTTGTTGTGTTTAGAGGCCTCAATGGCCCTGAAGAGGAAATGTAAATATGGGGCAAACACATAATACAATGTAACAAGGAATGAGAGATGCACAGATTTTTGTTCCTTCATAGCCATAACTACAGATTAGATTTTTCCTCAATTCACCCAAAGCATCAATAATAGCAGATAGTCTGTGCGCTGCTGTTCTGGGCGTTCAATCTGGTGAAATACAAGCCTGTCAGAAGTTATTACCGTCAACGGACTAGCTTGAAACTGATCACACTATACCGCAAGCTTCTACAGTTTCTTGACGCTTATTTGCTAAGCTCTGCCTCAGATTTGTTACACTCATCTTGTACTCCCCTATTAAAACTGCTTCATTTCACTTTGTCCATTAAAACGCACAAAGGCCTTTTGACACAAACATTACTCAGGCACAGCACCCTGAATGGCCCACCACACAAATATCCATCTCTCTCTCTCTTTTTTCACTTCACATCCCACTCCCTTTATTAATTACAAATTAAAAAGCTCTCGTTTAACCCATTACTGTGGAAACAGACACCTTCCAAAAGGGAAAATGCTTCTAGTTTCAAGCTCACGACTGACGTAAATCTACGTAAAATGTAGGTTAGCACATCTTTCCAAGGCTGAATAGGAAATATAAAATCACCAGCTAAAAGCACTTTACTTGAGACCATCATGTTTACTGACCTTCTGACTCAATGGAAAATTAGCTCTATATTGAAACCAGATTTTCATGACAATAAATGAACGGCATTCTTAGGCGGGGGCGAAGCATTAGGCAGGTTTCCTTACTCCACACGCCTCTGCTTACCTAGCAGTAGTAGTCAATTTTCAGGAGGGTGGTAATCACTAAAAAATAAACTTTGGTCACTCAATCCATGAATGTTTGTGGGACATTGCTGTGCGCAATTGGCTGCCGCGTTTCACCCACAAAATACAAAGTCAATTCACTTTATATTATACTGTGTGAAGCGCTTTGATACGTCTCAATTACATGATAAGGCTCTATATCAAATGCAAGGATTAATATTATTTATTATTATAAGCCAAATCCATTGGGAAACACGCCCTCTTCATTTTGTTCAAATAATAATCCTTGCACTTGATATTGCACGTCTCGTGTTGGAAGGATATCTTACAGGATTCACTGTGGAGTGTATTGACATACTTTGTAGGCAAAACACAGCCAATTTGGGTACAGCAATGTGCCCACAAACAACCATGAAATGAATGATCAAATTTAACTGGACGACTGTTGCTGAGGACACCGGGAGAGACATTCCCTCGTCTTTTCAAACAGTGCCATAGGATCTTTAATGTCCACTTGAACAGACAGATAGGACTCTAATCCGAAGAATGGCACCTCCAACAACACAGCATCCCCATTACTGTACAGTATTGGCGTATCAACCTAAAGATTGTGTGAATTCAAAGTCCTGAAATTCTGCTTTTGCTGTTGGTTGTTTGAAATCTTGGTGAATGTAATTGACTTTTTTTTTAAAAAACGTGCTGAAGCATCATACTCTACCTTGTCAATTTTCTCAGCTCCTCTGCGGTTGGCAGAGCAGATTTATTGCAACTACAAGGGCAAGATTCCACCTCTACGTTGACAGACTTCACCTTAGGCTGCGGAAAAAGAGAATGGAAATGCTCAGTTACATGCTGCTGACACCGCTGAACACAAACAACGAGTTCACATTTGTTCCAGAACAAAAAGGATTCTGAACTAAAACTGCATAGCTTACCTGTTAGGACTTTGGCTTTCAGAGTTAACGGGAGCTGAGTGGGAAGTGTCCCTAATCCTAGTGGTTGTTCTGCTCTGCCAAGTCTTGCCGATGAGCCAGGCTGCCTGAGCTGTCACCAACTGTGCCCTGGAGTACTACGGACCCCAATGGCTCAGGAACTGGATTACTGAGACTGCAACAGGGAGTTGACTCGAATCCCGTGCCAAGCACATCACTTTAGAGCCAGTTTCTCAACAAAAATTCAGCGCTTAGAGTCTCATTTGGAATTAATATAGAAAATTAAGTCACATGGCTTGTACAGCCTGATGCACCAATTAATCTATTTCAGCAAGGTTTTTCATTCTATAAATGGAACCAAAGCAATCAACACTTGATGGATCCCAGTGTCTTGGCTAAAAAGAATGGGCAGATACTTGGGTAGTAGAAGTATAAAAGGGAAGGTGAAAGTACTTTGGTTAAAAGATATGCTGTTTATCTACAAAATACACAGTCACTAAACTTTACAGTAAATCCTGTGAAGTGCTTTTAAACATCCTCCCAGTTCCTGGTCAACAATCCCCCAGATAAAATTGGTTATTCGCTTCATGGCTGCTTGTGGGACGTTGTTGTGTGCAAATTGGCTGCCGTATTCGTCTACAAAAAAAACAGTCACTACACTTTACAGTAAAAGCAGCACTGACGTGCATTGCAATGTCAACCTGGACCATGAGCACAAAGACCTGACTTGGGGGTTGAACCCACAAATGTTTGAATAAGAGACATCTGTGCTGCCAATGCTGACAGGATGTCAGGGCCATAAAGGTGCAGCGGAGATTTACTAGGATGATACCAGGATTCATTGGTTTGACTAATGAACAGAGACTAGAGGAACTCGGCTCGTTTTCACTGTAATACTGTAGCTTGAGGGGAAATCTGATAGAGGTCTTTAAAGTTATGAAGGGTTTTGATAAGTCAACTGGGAGAAATTATTTTTATTGGTCTGTGAGTCAGTGACCAGAGGGCATCGATTTAATAGAGTTAGCAATGGAGCAAAGGGAAAGATTAAGAGGATTTTTTTTAGACAAAGACTTGTTAGCATGTGGAATACCCTGCCGAGTGCAATGGTCAAAATATAATCAATATTGATGTTTAAGAGGAAACTACTTTTTAGGTAGAAATCTAAGAGAGGATGCACAATGCACATCTCTCTACAAAATCCTATCCTATCATACAATTGTTACCAAGTTATTCCACAATGGAGGCTAACATAAATAGAGGCTAGAGAGAGGGCTCAGAGTATCAACATCTGTCCAGCAGAAAGGGTCTGGCAAGGGGCTCAGAGCAGTATCAACATCTGTCACACAGAAAGGATATTAGGTGGCATCTCCATAGCATCGCTTACCAGCTGGGCTTCTGGAGAGAAGGGAAGGAACAAAACAAAAGAGAAGGGGAGGGAAACTGCTCTGATTTTCCACATATATACATACACACACACAAAACTGTTCTTGCTTTCCTGCGCGCACGCTTACAGCGCAGTTATACAGTTTCATGGCTCGAGCACTGGAACTAAGCACTTGTCATTTCTCACCACTCTTTCTTGGTTTTATCCAGTCTTCCCTCCTACTCTATCACAGACTTGGTGGTGTGGCCGTACTGTGCACCTTGATCCCTTCAGCCAACTTTCTCAGTTAAAGAATATTATATTTCCAGTCGAAAGTTGTCCTTCCTAACCCTGCAACCTCACATGTTAAACTTTCGCTTTCCGTTGACCTAGGTTTGGTTAACTCTACTCCTCTCTCCCCCCCCCCCACCCCACACACTTTGTGGTAGAGCGTTCAACCAATTTATCAATTTTAGCTACAAAGCACAAACACAGAGAGCAAACAGTCAGCTCTTTTCACGGGTCTGAACATATTTAATCACTCCAGGATACAACCATCGCATTCAACACATGACGTATCTGCAAACTGAGGAACAAAAGTGGGCCAATTATGGAAATTTGCTGGCAGGCAGTTCACTATGATCTACTGGGGCTGACCTGCTCTTTCACGTATTACATTCACCGCAGAGAGTTTGTTGGGCAAATAAGTTACTTTGTTGATGCAGTGAAAAGGAATGTTTGCTGAGCACAGAAAAATCAACTCTCCACGGCAAACACTCGAAGGACAATTTGTGGACAGCCATGTTGTTGCATCTCATAAGCAAACAAAGATCTGTCAAGCTTTTGAGAGATTTGTTTGAATAAAGAGGGTTCATCTGCTTCAGACGTGGATGTTCTTTCAAAAAAAAACATGAGGCAGCAATATTCATTTGTATGCTCACGATTAAGTACTTGAGATACTTTTGTTTTAAAACGTGACTTCATAACAGATTCAGCTTGGCTCAGTTGGTAGTATTCTTGCTACCAGATTCAAGGTTGTGGGTTCAAGCCCCATGTCTGGACTTTGAACTCACATAGTGTATGCTGAACTCCAATGCAGTGCCTGGGTTAGCGCGGTGTTGTCGGAGGTGCTGTCCTTCGCATGGTTCAGTTTGCCTATTCAGTTGAACGTTAAAGATCCCATGGCACCACTCGAAAACAGAAAGGAGTTTCTCCTGGTGTCCTGGCCAACAATCCCCCAGATAAGGTCAGGCATTCGCTTCATAGCTGTTTGTGTGACATTGCTGTGTCCACACTGGTTGCCGATTAAATACAGTCACTCCACTTTACACTAATTCAAGTGAAGTGTTTTAAAATGACCATTGGACATGAAAGGCCGATACCAAACCCCAGAAACTCCCCTCTCTTTTCGATTCATGCGATCATTCGGATCCTTACCATTCACCTGAACAAGCAGCCGAGATCTCAGTTTAATGTCTCATCCAAAGGATAGCACTTCCGACAGAGCAACACAATCCCAACACAGAATTGGAATATCAGCCTAGACCATATGAGTTCCAAGTCCCGATGTGGGGCTTTAACCCATAACCTTCTGACTCAGAGGTGAGGGTGCTACCACTGAGCCACGCTGCCACATGATTTCCAAACCCTTTTGAGCAAGTACAAACTCATAGTCACCAACATTGCTGTGAAAGTCGCCCTGATTTGAAATGCAATCTACTCAGTAAACTGCAACCAATTCCACTACTTCAGAGGTTCTGGAATACAGAGATGTTTCTGAAGAACCATAGAGATTTTACCACACAGAAGAATGCCATTGGCCTAATGATGTCTATACAGGCTTTTGTAAAAGCGATACATTTACCTGCCTTCCCCCCACTGCAAATGACTCCTTTTTTAAGATATCTATCCCGTTCCCTTTGAAGTCATTTCACACTATACTGGTGAGTCTGCAGAATGTTTTATAGCCTCTGTCTAAAATCCTGATCCCTTGCTTGGCTCCATGATTTCTACCATCACCTTTAATGAAACCTTGAATCCGAGTTCAGTGCGAGCAAGATAACGATTCTCATTCACTGAAATGACAAACAGCTCTTCCCCATCGCAGCAACCACGAAAATCAATTGTAGCGCTCACATTCACGGCTGGACAACTTCAAATGACTTGCACGTCAGAGCTCAGCTCCTTTTGTGCAGAACAAGTACCAGCAGCTTCTCAGTGATAAACAAGCATAAACACAGTCGAAACAGTGGAACCAAAATACAGAGCAGCTGAAAAAACACGGCTTTGTCCTTTTCAAAAAAATGCAATCTATCCTCGATTTGTTTTGCGTCACGGTAATTTCCTTAATGTACAGCAAAAACAAAGTCGTTTACAATATATTCTGTGAAGCACTTTGAGACATTTCAATGACGTGATATCAAATGCAAGGATTATTATTATTAAAGAGGCAGAGGAGAACATGGCTACAACAGCAGCAGTTAATAATAGTAATCCCTGCCTGCATCGTATTATCTCATCAAAACATCTCAAAATGCACATAGGATTTACTGTAGTGATTGCAGTTGTAGGCAAACCCGGCAGCTGGTTTGCACACAGCAATACCCCACAAACAGCCATGAAGTGAATGACCATTTTGTTTAACCTACAGGATAGTTGCTGCAAAAACGTCCCTCTCTTTTCAAATAGCACCAAGGGATATTTAACATCCACCTGAACAGGCAGACGGGACCTCGGTTAACGTCTCAATCAAAAGAAGGCTCAATTCCAGGCAGGGCGAAACCTTGGGCAAGTTTCTTCACTCCACACGCCTAATAATAATCCCTCCAAAAACAAAAACAATAATAAATTGATCATTTTCAATCTACGACTGTTTGTGGGACATTGCTGTGCGCAATTGGCTGCCGCGTTCGCCCACAAATATATACAGTCAATTCACTTTACAGTGTGTTCTGTGAAGCGCTTTGGGACGTCCTCCCGACGTGAAAAGCACTATATCAAATGCAAGGATTATTATTATTAATATTATCAAATGCAAGGATTATTATTATTATAAGGCACCTCCAATAATGGTTGACAAGAGTCAAGTCTTGGGGAATCCCAGGTGTGTGTTGGGAGTGCTGCTAGATTTCAGAGATTAAGGGCAGAATGGCTGAAAGCTCACCCAACGATGGTGGGGCGAATTGGGAGGAGAACTTGAAACAGGCCTGTGTTCTCAGAGTGGCAGTCATGTTGCAGAAGGCCACAGAAGTTGATTGGGTTGATGATGTGAAGAGGAATTTGAACATGAGGACAAGGTATCTTGAATTTGATCTACCCAGGATGGGAGCTAGTAGAGCCAAGTGAGGATAGGGTACTGGAGAGAACACAGAGCCTGGTACTCAAGCCAGGTACTCACGAGCCTGGTACTGGAGAGAACACGAGCTACTGAGCTCTGGATGGTTAACAGCTTGTGTAAACAGGAGCTGGGGAATCCAGCAAGCAGAGCATTGGAATAATTATCAATTTATTCTCGATCAATAAATAAAATCAAGTTTAGCACCTATCCTCGACTTCGTGTGAACTACAGTCTTCAATCTTATGGGATGGTGATGTAGCTCAGTGCCTTAATTAAATGCACAAATGGTTTCTGGAAAGAGCTGAACTCTTATTGGATTCAGCACCAATAAATAACACCACTTCACCGTAGAAATGAATAGTTTTATCAATGAGTCGTAACCTGCAAGTGAAAGCCAACCATTTTCTGTTTTACATTTCAATTCAACGAAAATAGTTGTTCAATCCCTGGTGTGGTCATTATTTCCATAATCTCTTAATACCATAATAAGCGTCTGTTTCCTTAGTACTAAGGACATTGCCCAGGCGATCACTGGCCTTACATAAGCAAGAACACAATAAGAGTAATGTGGGTTAGATGCAGTAGTGCATCATTGTAATCACATCCATTAGTGTCACACCGAATGCTAGCTGTTCCTTGTATCAGAAATGGCAGGGGCTCATTTAACAAATTTGAGAACATTGTGACTGTTTCACACCCTTCCACCCATTTGATCTTATTGTTCCAGATCATCCACCCTTCTGTCAACTTGTTCTTTAAATGAGTCCAGTGTCCTAGCCACACCTTTCCTGAATCACATGTTCCAGTTGTTAATTGTCCTCTGAGTAAAGAAATACTTCCTGGTGTCTGTCCTAAATTTGACCTTGGCAACTCTAAGCCAATGTTCTCATGTTCTACTGTATTGGTGCACCCAAAAGTATTGTCCTGGGTTTACTTTTTCAATCCAATTTAAAATATCATACACTTTCATAAAGTCTTCTCTGAGACGTCGCCTTTGAAGACTGGAGATCCCCAGGTTTGCTAATCACAGCTCATTCTTCTCACACTGAGGATAATCTCTGTTGCTCTCTTTTCTGTTTGGTCAGCCGAGTGTCTGACATATGCGGAAACCCACCATCGTGGTTAAGATCATCCTAACCAGACTGAGAGTTCCATGTATGTACAGCACCTACACATGGAAATTTCTCTGTGTCTGGAATGTGTTCTGTATACTCTTTCTCTGGAGAGTGTACATTCCTTTGCACCGCCTCTAGGATCTGGGCAGCCCCATTAATCACAGTGACCAGAACTTCATGCTGATTCCAGGTGGACTGACCAGAGCACAGCCTGAGTATGACTTCTGTGGATCTGAACTCAATTATTAGGCAATATAGCCCAGAATCCTGTTTGCGTTGCCTATTGACACAACCATAAGATAGCCACTATGGGATCCAAAAGAGGATTTAGGAGAACCTACTTTATGTAGTGGGTAGTGAGATTGTGGAACTCATTGCCTGAAGCAGCGATTGAAGCAGATAGTGTAGATGCGTTCAAGAGGAAATAAAGGGAGTAAAGAGTGGGTGGTGACTCTTATGGAGTACGAATGCTGGCACGGACTGGTTGGGCTGAGTGGCCTATTTCTGTGCTGTACATTCTTTGTAAATTGCTGCCTCACACTGTTTTAACATAGTGAGCGATGAGTCAACTAACACCTAGATTTCTTTCGGCTTCCCTCTTGGCAAACTCTATCTCATCCATGGAGTACACGCGTTTCCTATTCTTACTATCTATATGCAGCACCTTGCACTGACAACAAATAAATCAAATGGTTTCTAGGTAACAATGAAGACGCCCATTATGAATCAAATCTATAATTATGTAATTATTAATTGGTTTGTTCTCAATGTTGCCTGTCCCCAGTTACGATAACAAGTGCATTCAAACCCACATCAGGAGTATTAGCTGACATTCGGACATACTGGGGGATCAACAACAAGTTGTATTTATATAGTGCCCTTCACACTTGGAGGTATTCATTATATAGTGCTCTTCACATGTTGAAGGTACCTTCCAATGGACCTTAAACCAAGATCCCGTCTGCATTTGCAGGTGGGCATTGCAGATCACACAACACTAGCTGAAAAGAGAAGGGAGTTTCTCCTGGTGTACTGGCCAACAATCAACCAGATACAATTGGTCATTCACTTCATGGCTATTTGGGGGGACATTGCTATGCGCAAATTGGCTCCTGTTCACCTACAAAATACAAAGTTACTACATTTTATACTTTCTGACGTTAAAGGCAATATGTCAAATACAAGGATTATTATACTTTAACCATTGCATTCGGCTCAGATTCTGCACATGACTGAGCATTCGTGTCTGCCAATCCTAGATGTGGAAGAGGTTGCAGGGATTCTTCTCTGACACTACTCAGTTTCCCACACTACTTTGTAGGTAACAGTGCAATACAAGTGTGTGTGTGGAAAGCTGACAAGCAGTAGGCAGCAGTGACTCATGTGAGGGGATTGTTTTCAGGCAGAACTGAGCTTTCATGCTGTTTGCAGGAAACTGCATGATGCTTTTAGTACATCTTGGAATAGCATTGCAGTCGTCAAGGAGTGTGTGTGTGACTGGTAAGGCTTGAAATGATGAGGCAAGTCTCATCTGCAGCCGTGCTGGAAATTCTGTCACTATTGAGGAAAATGTGATTTTATTTCCATCATTTGGAGTCCATAAGACATTTGTGACAATAATTTATTTTGTCCTGAATTTGCACTATTAATCTAATTTTATATAACTTAATGTTTAATATTAAACATTATTAAACATTGCAATTAATATAATGCCTTTCACGTCAGGAGGTGCTTTACGGGATACACTGTAACTGCGTATTTTGTAGGCAACTTTAACAATGCCCTGCACACAAATGGACTACTGATGTTTTGAGTAAAATTAAAATGGCGTTATGCAACTCTTAAATTCAACTCTTCAAATATCAAATCCTTTTGTGGAATGATAGTGTGTTGCTATTTGTGGTTCTATCACTGTAGAAAGTCTCCCCTTCAAACAGTTGAGCCATACAGACTGGGAAGATCCCAGTTGTGTGCTGAATTACCTAATATCTACCAGGATAGAAGTTGGCACGCTACAATTGACCTCAGGACTTAACATTGTGGAGCTGAGGTTCCATTTCTGATCACAATCCAGCACCCTGGTTCTGCATGCGAAACGTGAGGATCTGGGAATATTTCAATCACACACAGAAATGTCCCACAGTAATGAAGCTATTGACTAATTCTAACAGAGTTGTTAGAATTATTGTTGGCCAGGACACATGGGAGAACCTCCCTTTTTGAATAGTGGATTTAACATCCATTTAAACAGGCAGACGGCACGTGGTTTAGTGTCTCAAATGAACAACAGCACCTCCGACAATGCAGTACTCCCACAGCATCTAGTTGGAGTGTCAGCCTAGACTTTGAGCTCAAAATTCTGATGTGAGCATGAACTCACAAACTTGTCACCCAGAGGTGCTAGTGTTACCGATTAAGCCAGGCTGACATCCAGGCACAATTTTAGGACAGACACCAGGAAGTTTCTCTTTACCCAGAGCATACTTAGTGCTTGGAACTGGATGCCAAGAAGGGTGGTTGAGGCCAGGACACTGGACATATTTATAAAGCAGCTCAATGCTGTGATGGAAGGATGGGAAGGTGGGTGTTCTGGAGGGTTGAGATCCTATGAACCGAAGGTTGAGATCCTATGGACCGAAGGGCTTTCTTCATCCAAACCGATGTTGTGTTCTTATGAAACTGTTGACAAAATAAATATCTAAAGAGACAGGAGTCTTGGGCCATACATGGATGATTGGTTACATTTTCAAGAAGTCAATTAACAGGTAGAGTACTGGATGCAGGGAACCAAACTCACCTTGACAACAGTGCCTTTGAAACCTCTCCTGGGTTCAATTACTTGAAGTGTTTCAATTTTTTCCTAGGATGAAATTAAAAAATTAGTAAAAGTGGTAATGTGTCTCTATCCAATTAAAATATTTTCTAAAATATTCATGCCCTCAGTCATGAAATAAGCATGCAACATCTCTGCACTATTTATAAAGATTATGGCAGTTCTACTTCAATGGTCAGACAACGATCAATCTCACTTCGTCAATGTTTGCTTTTATATAAAGATGTTCTGGCTGCCTCAGTCGGTAGCACACTTGCCTCTGAGTCAGAAGATTTTGTGGGTTCATGTCCCATGACTTGGAACTCATATAGTCCTGGACTGATAATCAATGCAGTGCTAGGGGAGCACTACATTGTTTCAGGTGTTGTCCTTTGTTGAGAAGTTATGATGAAGCCATGTCTAACTGTTCAGTTGGATGTTAAAGACCCTGTGGGACTATTGGAAAAGTGAGGGAGTTTCTCCTAGTGTCCCGACCAGCAGGCCCTAGATAAATTTGGTCACTCACTTCACAACTTTTTTTGGGACACTACTGAGTATTGCAAAATTCGCTGCCATGTTTGCCTGCAAAATGCACAGTCACTACAGTTTACTGAAATAAGCGTGCAACATGCCTACTACATCTTCCGGCACTTCCTTGGAATCAATAAAGCTATGTGAGAATTTCACGCAGTATAACAGAAATTCCATCAAGATCCAGAGATTGCATTTCTATCTCTGTTCCTTTCATGAATCTGCGAATGTCTAAATGTCAACTAATTCTCGCAGTGAGGCTTAAACTCAACATCAATGACGCATGTCTGATGCATCTGACTCACTGGTAGATGGAACGATCCTTTTTGTAGGATCCACTTTTGAAGAAATACACGGTGTAAAATTCCACCTGGATCTAGACTTACTCTATTCACGTAGCATTTTAGAAAGCTCAGAATTTGAATTCCAATTGTTGAATTTAGTCTTAACGTTGAAGTTCTTGAAAGGATTTACAAATAAAACAGCTTCAAAATTAAGGCTGGATATAAGAAATTCACAAATGCCGGTTGTTCTGAAATGCTACTATAATAAAGTTAATCTAAACCCAGGTGGAAATCCAAACCCCAGGATATTCCTTCAAGCTAAAGAAGTTTTATTGTCAGTCTTATTATAAAGCAACTGTAGTTTTATTCTGAAATGCTTTTGCATAAACAATAGTATGTTTTACAATCTTGACTAGGTGAGTAACAAGTACAATACTGTATAACTAAATGGTCCTCAAGGTACAAGCGAGAATGGGAAATGAGGAGAACAAGGCATTAGCCAGAGGCTCCACTGTGGACATTTGACATACTTTATCCTGTCATTCCACAAAGGGAAAGAACTGTACATTCACCAATCTGTCCCATCATTTAAATTCAAGGGCAGGGATACTTTCAATTACTTTCCTGCAAGCCAAAGCCCTAATGGGTAGGATGTTACTAGCTAGACTAGTGGGAAACTTGGCAGACAGTGATTTCAATGGTTAGTAATGCAGTATTAGCTGGTTAAACTCCAGTGCTTATCCCAAAGCAAAACCCTCAAGCCTCTCTGGAATTAGGTAGAATTAGGCATGTCTCTGGGGAGAAGATAAGCATTCCATTGCAGACACAGGAAAATTGTGAGGTGCGAGACTCACTCGGTTAGTAGCAGTCTCGCCATTGAGTCAAAGGTTGCAGATTTTGAACTCACAGTCTAGGCTGACACTCCTTTGCAGTGCTGGAGGAACCATTGGATTATCGGTGGTGTCATCCTTTGGCATCCCCCCCATGACCTGATAACCGAGAGCCCACCTATGCCTGTCCAGGTGGACATTAAAGATCCCATGGCGCTATTTGAAAAGAGAAGGGTTTTCTCCCGGTGTCCTGGCCAACAATCCCCCAAATAAAATTGGTCACTCACTTTATGGCTACTTGTGGGGCATTGCTTTGTGCAAATTTGCAAGACCCCCTCCTCCGATATAGAGGATGCCCATAATCTACCCATGCTAAAAACTGACTTGAACGATAACAAAGAACATTATAACAGGATCAGGCTGCATTAGGTTTTAGATAACATTATAACAGGTCAGGCTGTATTAGGTTTTTAATACAATAGGATAGCAAGGGATTCATTGAAGAAGGTAAGGGTTAATAGAGGCCCTAATATTTTGTTACCTTTTCCTTTGGTTGAATAGTTTAAACAGTTTCTGGTTTATAAGAATATTAAGCAAAGTACAGTGCAAATCATCATCAGCCATGAGTTAGCCCGCACAGAATAACTAATAAAATATTGAATATGCTGCAATAGCAATGCTTCAGAGGTGCAATAAATAATGACGACACTAAGTGAAGAACTAACTTGGCACTGTATTAAAGTGGCGTTCCTATGGAAACCTTTTACACAAATAGGATCAAACATAATTAATTCTTGTGCTGTGCGAAGATATACTTTTGCAGCACTTTGGACGTAATTGCTTGGAATCAGCAACGCACACTGAAACACTTCTGTTTCCCTCGCGTGTCAACCTGGCACTCTCGTCTCTGAGTTCAAGCCCCACGTCAAAACTTTGAACTCATAGTCCAATGTCGTGTTGGGAGGGCACTACATTGAACGAGGTGCTGTCCTTCGGATGGGATGTCCTGTCTGCCTGTTCAGGTGAATGTTAAAGCCCCCAGTGCATGACTCATATAGAGAATGGAGTTTCTCCCGGTATCTTGGTCAACAAATGCCCCCCTCCAATAAAATTTGGTAACTCACTTTGTACGCAAATTGGCTGCCATGTTCGCCTACACAATACATGTTTTACACTTTACAGTAAGTACCGTGAAGATCTTTAAGATGTCTCAACTACTTGATATCAAAGGCAAAGATTATTATATTATAAAATTCCGTACAATCTTAATAATAATCCTTGCATTTGATATAGCACTTTTCACGTCTTCAAGATGTCTCAAAGCCCATCACTGTAAAGTGAATCGACTGTATCTGTGGGTGAAACGCGGCAACCAATTGCGCACAGGAGTGTCCCACAAACAATCATGGAATGAAGTGACCAATTTATTATTTGTTTTTCTTGATTGATTATTATTAGGCGTGTGGAGTAAGGAAACCTGTCCAAGGTTTCGCCCTCCCGGGAATCGAAACCAGGTCGCTCGCTTGCTTTAACTTAAACTTTATTAGAATGGTCTTCAAAGCAACCGGAATGTGGCATTTCGGGACACTGATATCTCCTTTAAATTGTTAGTCAGTGGTCTTTTCCCAAACACTTAATATACTGTACTCCTCTGTAAGGCCACACTGCCACTTATTTGCACACCAAGGACAATCCAAGCTGAGTGCTAGATTGCTATCATTGCTATTTTAGATGCCAGCTTTTCTCTCCTCTGAAAACTGTGATTTATTGCGCCCCACATCTGGGCTTTGAACTCACAGTCTAGATTGACGTTCCAATACTGTGCTGTTCTGGAGGAGCTCTGCATTGTCAGATACGTCAACTTTCAGATAGGACATTAAATCAACAACAACAAAGTTACATTTATCAGGAGTACATCGCAAGCTGCTGGACAGTCAGTGTTTAGGACCTGAGCTGGGGGTTGGGATTGGGGAGGATGGAGGGCAGGGGGTGATCAAAGCAGGGTGATCGAAAACACAGTCAAAGAGGAGGGTCTTGAGATGGGTCTTGAAGGAGGCAAGGGAGAGGCAAGGCAGAGGGACTGTAGGGTGGAGTTCCGGAGGGTGGGGGCAGAGTAGCTGAAGGCCCGTCCACCAATGGTGGGACGGATGAGGCAGGGGACCAGCTGAGTGAAGGGAGCAGGCAAGATGGTAGGAGGTCAGGGGGTTGCAGAGATAGGGGGGAGCGAGGCCATGGAGGGCTTTGAAGATGAAGACCAGGATCTTGAACTGTAGAGTTGGGTGAGGATGCGGGTGATAGGGCACGGATCAAGGTGCGGGAGAGGACACAGGCTGCAGAGTTCTGGATGATCTGCAGCCTATGGAGGGAGGATTTGAGGAGGCCGACAAGCAAGGAGTTTGCATAGTCAAGCCTTGATGTTATGCGTTTGAGGGTCTCGGCGGCCTGCGGTGTGAGACAGTGTTGGAGCCGGGCGACGTTGTGGAGGTTGGGGAAGGCAGAGAGGGTCATGGCACAGATGTGGGGTAGAAAGGATAGTTGAGGGTCAAACAAGATTGCAAGGTTCCAGACTGGCTCAGTGAGGTGGAGTGTGCCACCATGGATGGTGATGCTGTCAGCGCCTGAGGTGAGGAGGCGCTGACGGGAGCCAATCAGGAGAGCCTCGGTCTTGTTGAGATTCTACTGAAGAAAGTTAGCTCTCATCCAGGACTTGATGTTTGACAGACCTTCTGTTAGCACAGCAATGGTCCTGGGTCAAGGGTGGAGGCAGAGAGGTAGAGTTGGGTGTCATCCGCATACATGTGTAAGTTAACCCCATGTCTGCGGATGGGACCAAGGACAAAGCCCTGAGGAACACCGCACTAGACAGTGCGGGGGCGAGAGGAGAAACCATTGTGGAGATGAAGTGGAGGTGGCGTGAGAGGTAGAATCTGAACCAGTCAAGGACAGAAGGTTGAGAGGAGAGGCGGTGGATCAGGATATAGTGGTCAACGGTGTCGAAGGCAGCAGAGAGGTCAAGGAGGACGAGAAGGCAGAAGGAGCCCTGGTCGCAGATGGACAGAATGTCATTTGTCACTTTGACCAGGGCAGTTTCTGTGCTGTGGGCGGCACGGAAACCCGAATGGAGGGGTTCATGAAGTGAGTGGCGGGAGAGGAAGGAGCAAAGCAACGACTCATTTCAGATCTTGGAGAGGAAAGGGAGGTTGGAGATGTGGTGGTCGTTTGAGAGCAGGGAGGGTTTTTAAGGATAGGAGTGATGAAAGCTGATTTTAATGGGGTGGGAACAGTACCAGTGGACAGGGAGAGTTTTATGATGTCTGTGAGTAGAGGGGCAAGGAGATGAAGCTGGGAGGTAAGAAGAAGGATAGGGATGGGATCGAGGGAGCAGGTGGTCGGTTTCATGCGG